CAGCAGGGTCCATGCAGGAGTGCGACAAGAAGGGGGACTGTGAATCCAACACCCCAAGTTTGCTTGCACACCTCTGTGGTTGGCTCTGCCTAGTTCTCAGCATTTGGGCCCAGCCTGAGCTTGGTGCTGGAGGACCAGGGCTCAGGTGAAGGATGTAAGACAGATGCTGTGCTCTTGGGGGCATCAAGCCAGGAATAAGAACAAATGCTCTGTACTCTGAGCATGGTCCTTGGGGGCTCATCCCATGAACAGAATCCCAGACCCCATCCCAAAGCTACTGAATCAAAATCTGTATTTTGACAAGATCCTCGGGTAAGCTGGATGACATTACAATGAGAAGCTGTATTATAACAAACACAGAGCTCCATCAGATACCACAAGGTGGCCAAGAAGGACAGAGGGATGCTGGCTGAGCAGCCCAAGTGGGCATCGCATAAGACCCAGGAATGTGGGGCCTTAAAGCAGGGTAGAGGAGGGCAGATGGACAGGTGGACAGCACGGCACCATCAAAGCTCACGGCCTGAGGATACCCAACAGAGTGAAAGCCTCGAGATTCTCAGCACTCAAAGAGCAAAGAGGGCAGGCCAGAGCAGGGAGCAGACAGTCCCCAGCCTTGCCATGTGGCCACCAGACCGGGGAGAACCCAGAACCCAGGCCTCCCCGCAGGTGGTTGCGGGTCCTGTCATCTGCCCCAGCTGCTTTCTGTGGGCCAGGCTCCTGGGGGCACTGCACCTGAGGTCTACCAACCCAGCTTCATGAGGTGGGGGGCACCTCACACTGGAGAACCCACTGTCCCCTGTACCCACGGGTGAGACTGCAAAGGCAGCTCACCTTGGAATTCCCCTCTGCACCACCGCACCATCCCTCCCTGGTAAGCAGGGCTGCAGTTTCTTTCAGCCCGCTTTCCATGCTGCCAGCAGTAATGTTCCAGGGCAATGGCTCCCAGGAAGGCTAAAATTGGTCTCCAAACAGATCTCCTTTTCTTCTCCAGGCGTCTAACTCTGACCTCTGATTTCATTTCCATTCTACTAGCCATGGGAGGCCCAAGCCCCAGATACAGAGGGGCCGCGGACACCACATTCCAGGGAAGGATAGCACCTGCCTCCTCCCTACTTTGCCCAGGCCCTCTTTTGGGGTGGCCCACATTGAGTCCTCAATTTAAGGGGGCCAGACACTGCAAATTGACTGCTATGTTGCATGTATGTTTGTTGTTTTTTTGGATACAGATTCCATAGATTCTAGAAGATTCTCAGTGAGGTTTCTGACCCCTAAAAGGTCCAAAATCCCAAGGCACAGCCTGGAAGGCAGGCCACGTGATCTGCCCAGGAAGGAAGGAGGCAGGAGAGGTGTGGTCACAACAGCGTCCCAGAGCCTTTGACAGTGATGGTCACAGAGTGTCCACTGTACAATCTGTGTTTGACATGGAAAAAGGCAATAGCATTCCAAGGAGGTTCAAGGAAGGCTCATATCCCAAACAAAGCCTCAAAGCAGACAGGGCAGGGCGGGGATGGGAGGTAAGAAATGGCAATGACTGGCTGCAGGGCCCCACAAGTACATCAGGAAGTCAGCTCAGGCAACCTAGGACCTACTAGACTGTCATCCCAATGTCCCTGGTTTCAGAGCTTAGCTGTATCTATCCCAAGGAAAGAATGTTTTAAGGGTTTCCTTCCTTTCCCTTCCTCACAGCCCTGGGTGGCTCAGGCCAGGAGAGGGTAGGGGCAGAGTTGGAAGGGCCACACATCTACCTGCCTCTGTGCGCATGCTGAGCTGGTGTCTGGGCCCCAGCAGTGGCCCCAGAACTGACATTCCACATATGGCCTGCCCTGCCAGCTCCATGTCCACCCACACAGCCCCAAGACACTGCTCAGACACCTACGTTCACGTGCTGGGCCGACTCCCTGAGCCTGGCACTGGAAAGGCTGACCAGCTTCTGAAAACAAAGCCAGCTACAACTTTCCTTGTGGTCCCCACTCCCTCTCTCCCGCTTTCTTTCCTCTTGGAAAAGCCAGAGTGTCAATACTATGCTTTATTTGCTCAGATCCACTTGGTTCCAGCACACGGCTCCTGTGGAAGGAAGGACCTGCTGGAGTCCAAGAACCCAGTTAGTGTCAAGCAAAGCCTGGGGAGCAATGTACAGAGGGTCAGCCACAAGTGGCCTCTTCCCTTCACAAACCATAAAGACAAGTTTCAAAAGGTAAATAAGGAGCTGGGAGGGGGGAGGCCAGGCAGACTCACATCAACTGGAGGAGCCAGGCAGGACCTAGGGCATGGCCTAGGGGGAGTGGCACAGTAGCAAAGCAGAAATTGCCAAGGAAAGCCCATTATCAGTCATGTCCAGGGTATTGTGGGACCCCCCCTAGTCCCCCTGGTAAGCCATCAAAACCCTGCAAAGGCATCCAGCCTTCATCTCCCCAAGAAAGGAAAGGCCAGAAGCAGCCCATAACAGCCAGCCCTAAACTCTAAACAACAAACTCTATCTATCATGGTTTGCTGGCAATTCTTTATTAAATCAATTCTGCTGGATCAATGCTTCCTGCCCATCAAAATGATGAATAAATCCTGGGCAATGTTTGCAGAGGCTCTAGTCAAGCTGGAGGTGGAAAATGACAACTGGCTGCACAGAGAAGACCATGGCCAGGCACTGAAACTCTAGGGACCAAAGCTTGGGGTGCTAAGTACAGGGGACATGGGTTAGAATGGGTTGAGTGGTGGGTTTTCTAAGCTTAGCTGACTCAGCCAGGCCCTTGCCTCTTTGACTTTCTGAAGACAAAACTAGCTATTTTGGCCTAGAGACATGACCACGACTCCTCCAAAAATACACACATAAGCACACATGAACGTACATACACACACACACACACACACACACACACACACAGATGTCTTTCTTGGATTTCTTTCCTTCTGCCAGACCCAACATCAAACAGCGACAGGGTGTGCATAGAGGAATGTGCACTTCCAGCCACCCATCCTGGCAGCTTGTTGCTCAAACCCAAAGCCAACCCAGTTGGACCATTTTCCCCCTGTTCATTTATCGGTCCTGCTACATCTACCCTCTCACCATCCCCCAACGCCCCCTAAGGCCAGGACCCAGGCAGCCTGAAGTTGGTGGGAGGTTCAGTAGCAAGGGGACCACAGACAGACAGACCTGGCAGGCAGAGGCTGGACCAGGAAGGTGGGAATTTCCCATGGGCAAAATCAACCGTCCTGACTCCTCACCATCCAAGGTAATAAAGACCAGGAGGGCAAGGCCCAGTGCCCAGAAAGTCCTCCATCAGGGTTTGTTGTTCATGGAGGCTGGACACACCCGGGGTTGGCACTGGGCTTGGTGACAAGAACCCTGGACAGAAGCTTTCCTATCACTGGGGGCAGGGGCAGAGCAGGGGAGGACCCCTCAAACATCTCAAGTGGCTGACACTGGAAATGCCTGTCACCACCACTGAGGAGTTCAGCAGGAAGAGGAGGAGCCTGGGACACTTGGGATGGAGGAGACAGGGCACCTCTCCACTCCTCTCGAGCTCAGCCTGGGATACTCAAGTCCCAGTCCTGGCCAGGGAGAGTTCACTCTTAGGAAGCTGGCACTGAGAGCCCAGCTGCCATCCCTGAGGGGAGAAACCCACATCTCTTCACACCGTTTGATGGCTGAGGCTCTGTGCAGCCTGCTCTCTGGCCTCCTTGCCCTCTGGGAATGGTAAACCTAGATCTTAGGGTTAGAAAGATCAGTCCCTCAAAAGGGAAAAAGGAAAAGAAAAAAGAAGGGGGCCTCTATTCACCTCCTATTTTAAGCCATCAAGTGCTGTCTGACTGGTCATTCCCATCCAGAGAAATCTCTCTCATTGGATGGAAAATGGCTTTGCTCTCATTACAAATCCAGCTTCCCTGGAGTTTGCAAAGAGGGCTCTGGGTGGACACCATGCTCATTTATATAGGCAAACGATGGAGCCAAGTAGGGGGCAGGGCTGGAGAGAGGGAGAATGAGGTACCCAGCTGGAAAAAGTTAATGCTTCCCAGGCCTTCATCTTAACCTGGTGCGGGAGGGATGCCCAGAGGGGCACTGGGGAACCTCAGGACCTTGGCTAGGTTAAGGGCATCCCTGTCCTGAACCCCAGGAGCAGCCAATGATCCCACTCCTACACAGTTACGTCTACAAACCCAGAGTGGCATCTGTGGTTCAGTGGCATCTGACTCCAGTGATGCAGGAGCGGGCAGGATCCCTCTCCCTGACTGGCAGTCACGCCTTTTGTCTCTGGACCCACACAGACCCACAAGAGACCTAGCAGCCGCTGGAACTCGGGCCACTGGGTTGGGGAAAGTGTCCTGAACTGAGCTTGGGGTCACAGGACAGCTGAACATCAGGTAGAACACCACGCATCTTCACTGACCACTATGAGCAAGGTCATTCCCCTCTGCTGATTGGCAGCATGCTGCCCAGGGAGTCTACTGCTGGTCCACTATTCAGCATGAGGGGCTGGGCCCAGGGTTAGCAGGTCCCAAGGCCCCAGGGACCTCAGTCCTCCAGGTGCCTGGCCACTGCTTCCCAAGGTGCCGGTGCAGAAGGATATTATCGCCTGCAGTCAGCACCCAAGGAGCCAGCCCAGCTACTGAGAGGTGCGCCTCCTTCCTGGCCCCACTCTGCAGGGTGACAGACCTGGGCTGCCTCTGGGATGGCCACCTTGTCTCTGCAGCTCTTAAGGGGAGGTGGAACATGACGCTCCAGGTGGCAGAGCTCTAGTCTGGCTGCAGGGAAGGCTAGGCCAGGCTCAGGACACCTTTTCAGTCTGACTCCAATGCGGTCCAGACCGAGGAGAGAAAAGCCAGAAGCTGGGAACACAGGAAAGTTCCCATTTCGGTGCAGGAGGAAGACTGGGGGTGTCTCAGACTCTAGCTTCTCTTGGAGCTCGCAGTGCAAGAAAGTTAACTCCGGCTGGAAGGCAGGGCCGACAGATGAGCATGCCTGCCACCAAGCAAGGCACCCACAGGATCCCCAATGAGCCTCTTACCTGAAGTCGCTGTAGGGATGAATAATCCAGAACCCGGCGGACTTCACCCTCTCCTGCTCACGCTCCACGGCTTTCTGGCTGCCGAACATCCTTAGTGAGAATTTGTTGACCCCGGGCTGGAGCATGGCCCCGAATTGGCGCTGCATGAAGCCGGCCTGGCCCAGACGTACCTCCGCCTCCGGGAGGATCTGATCGCTGGCGGCCGCGCCTCCCTCCACTTTGATCGCGGTGTCCGCCACGGGCTGCTCGCGGGAGGCCGAGGCTGGG